TACCTTTGATGCTGGTTTTTGGAGATTTATTGTACAAAAAATTTAAATCCACCATTGAAAGACCTTGAAGCTTGAAACTCATAACTTGGTTTGTTTGAGTTTTTAATTATTTTGATCCGATCCTGTATGGGTTTGTTTGAAAAGTTGATTGGAGGTTGTAGCTAAAGTTTTAGTCAATTTGGTAGAGGATTTGTAGTAAATTTTAGAAATTTGGGTTGAAATATAGTTGAACCATAGAAGAAGACGAATTTGTATTGTATACCCAAATAGTATACAAATATACCATTTTAGTATACAATTCATTCCAACTATATACCCTATTAGTATAGCTATATACTATATTGGTATCATATGCTAGTTGAATCATTTTTTGGTTGTATTAGCTGCATTGAATTGGTACAATATTTGATTTTCTTTTAATAATAGTAATATAGTACAATATCTTGAAATACCTTATTATATTAATATGTGGTACACTATTTTTTTATTTTTCTCTTTATGCATGTGTGTTACGTAATAGTAGTATAGTCATACAGTTGCCGGAAATTAACTAGTAAAACTATATACCATGTTGGTATAGTTATATGCCATATTGGTATCATATGGTAGTTGAACATTGTTTTGGTTGTTTTAGCTGCATTTTAAATTAATTCTAATATGAAATTATTTATATGAACATGAGTCGCAATGCTGGAATTTTTGTGTGCCGATGGACATAAATCATGTGTATTATATAATAGTTTTTACAGTTATAGGCAATTGTTGGAACGACCCCATACAACTATATACCCTCTTAGTATACGAAATGAGCAAGTTGTTTTGCGAATATTTAACTTGCAATACGAGCATGTAATTTTCTCATACTTTTATTGCGTCCTTTAATGTTTTAGTACAGTAGTATAGTCGCAGATAATTGTAGCAATATTCTAGAGAAATTATATGCTCTGTTGGTATACATATATACCATATTGGTATCACATGGTACTAGACGTCTTTTTTGCTGCTTATACTTTTGTTGCATTTTTCAATATTTTATTATCATTTTTATTCTAACTAGTATATATGGAGATTTGGTTGTCGTAGATTATGTTTTCTTGGTCTATAACTTGTTGTATTACTGTTAATGGTAGAGTGTGTATTGATATTTATAAGGAAGGAGATCAAGGTTTGCATGACAATCACGTGTTGATTCTTAGAATCTGATTATATAATTTATGGTGCTCAGCAGCAATCAATGTGATATTCAGTTAGATCAAGTGACAACTGATATTATTTCACTTTAATAATTGAATTTAAAAAATGAGAAAGAAAAAAAATAAAAGGTATATTGTACTAGTTATATTAAAAAGGTGAACAAATATTTACTATATGAGTTATTTTTTCTTATTGTATAAAAAAATAATGAAAAATAGTGAAACGGTAAATGAAATTAGATTATGAAGAGAAAAAGAATAAAAAAAAAAGTTAAATGAAATTAGAAAAGGAAAAAAGAAAAAAATAAGAAGAAAACGAGAAAAAAGAAAAGGAGAAAAGAAAAAAAAGGAAAAAAAAGAAGAAAAGAAGCGTAGAAATAAAAAAGAATTGGAGAATAAAGAAAAAATTACCCACAAATACTATTATGGGTAGAAAATGTAATTAGTTTATGGGTAGAAAAACAAATGGGTAGACAAGACTAAATAGTTTTGTTTTTGTGGGTAACTATGCCAAAATCCCTTGTTTTGACTCTTTATTTACACAAGTGGTATTGTCATTACTAACTTTGACACATCATTAGTTTTTTAATTTTTTATTAATTTAAATTCTTACTATTAGCCATGTGTCAAATATTAATTGGTTCTTAAAATAGTCTTCGAATGTATATTATACGCGATGTGAGCTGGGTCATGTATTTACTTGATATACTTTACAGGCACTTGAAGTGTCTAACTGAAAATGGGCTTAGCTAAGATATTTAGTTGATTGTTAGAGACAACTTAAAGGGGTCCTTTATGTATTTCGCCAAAATATTAGTGTCTTTTATTTTAAACTTAATCTATAAAATATATTTATATATAAAATTAACAGTACGGTTCAATATTTTTTCGGTATTTTTTATAATATAAAAAAACCTACCCTAATATTCGGTACGGTTATAAATTTTTATTAAAACCTTCAGTTTATTAAAAAAACCTAATAATTAGTATGGTTAGATTCGGTTCGGTCGGTTTTCAAAATTGTTTCGACACTCCTAGCAAATAGCATGCACCAAGGCACCTCCTCTTAGATGCGTCGCGATAGTATATACATCGCAAAGGCTTTTCATAGCCAATCCAAATCGTTCAAACAAAATCAGATAAATAACCATTTTGACATAAAACCCTTTAGCAATTTAACATTAATTTTTTTAAAGGTACAACAAGTACTATCATATTTATCAAGTCTTAAAATAATTGCCTCTCAAGTATTACTTGCCAAAAAGTATTGACAAATGAGATTTTTATTAAACAATAAATATTTCATATGCAACACAACTCAAAGCATATGGTGACATCCACACCCACTTGTCCTCACAAGCGCGAACGGTCGAAAAACATAGTCGGTCTAACCACCACTCTATTAAACTTACCCTTAAGTCTTGACGACACATTCTTATCATCTAAAACGCCGGAAGAGAGTCTCCATTTAATCCATCCCACTCCGATGTGATGTGCAACATCTTCGACAATATCCTCGTTACCTTAGATTATAGACACGAGATACTTAAAACTAGCTCTCTTAGGGATTACTTGAGTATCAAGCGATACCTCTACGTCTGTTTCTTGGGTTCCCTCACTGAATTTGCACTCCAAGTATTCAGTTTTGGTTCTACTCATATTGAAACCTTTAGATTCCAAAGTCTGTCTCCAAACCTCCAACCTCGCGTTAACTCCGCTTTGCCTCTTGTCAATCAACACTATTTTATCGGCAAATAGCATGCATCAAGGCACCTCCCCTTGGATGTGTCGCGACAGTACATCCATCGCCAAGGCTTTTCATAGAAAATCCAAATCGTTCAAACAAAATCAGATAAATAACCTTTTCATGTTAAACCTTTTAGCATTTTAACATTAATTTTTTTAAAGGTACAACAAGTGCTATCACATGTATCAAGTCTTAAAATATTTGCCTCGGTTCTTATTTACCAACAAGTATTTACAAATGAGATTTTTGTTAAACAATAATGATATTTCATATGCAACACAACTCAAAGACACATGGTGACATCTACACCCACTTGCCCCCACAAGCGCAGACGGTCGAACAACATAGTCGGTCGAACCACCACTCTATAAAACTTACCCTTAAGTCTTGGCGGCATATTCATATCACATAAAATATCGGAAGCGAGCCTCCATTTCGTCCATCTCACTCCGATGTGATATGCGTCATCTTCGGCAATCTCCCCGTTACCTTGGATAAATAGACCCGAGATACTTAAAACTAGCTCTCTTAGGGATAACTTGAGCATCAAGTTTTACCTCCATATCTGCTTTATGGGTTCCGTCACTAAGTTCGCACTCCAAGTATTCAGTTTTGGTTCTGCTCAACTTGAAACCTTTAGACTCCAAGGTCAGTCTCCAAACCTCCAACTTTGCGTTAACTCAGCTTCGCGTCTCGTCAATCAATATTATATCATCGGTAAATAGCATACACCAAGGCACCTCCCCTTGTATGTGTCGCGACAGTACATCCATCGCCAAGGTTTTTCATAGCCAATCCAAATCGTTCAAACAAAATCAGATGAATAGCGCTGTCACACTTCCTTTTCCCCGAATGGGGATAGGGTTTTTTTTAAAATTTAAGTAACATTATTCGAAATGGAATTATTTATTTATTTTCAGAGTCACCACTCGGAATATTATGGTATTCCAAGTCATCGATTTATTTTAAATCCTAAATCGAGGAAATTTGACTCCGTTTAAAGTCTGCGAAACTAGTAGACCGGGTAAGGAATTATGTTAACCCGGGAGAAGGTTAGAGGCACTCCCGAATTCTGTGATTTTAGCATGGTCGCTTAACTATTAATAATTGACTTAATTATCTGATTAATTACATGTTTCAAACCCTTTTGTGCATTATCGCTTTTATACCGCTTTTAATTATTTTAAACAATTATGGAGTTTATTTAAACAAGTCGCGATGTCGTGCACTTGCTATTTTTGTACACATCGCAAATCACGACACGTGAAACACACCCGTGATTCACAACGTATTTATTTTAATAATTGTTTGAAGTTATGGTCGTGTCACATGAAATGCACACCCGAATGGGATTTACGTATCATGACCATGCCACATATACCATACCCATAATAACGATAATTATTATTAACCGCGCCTAAAACAAGCTATAATGTTCATCTATTATTCTTAAGCTACTTTGAAATTAATTGTAAAAGGTCTGTGATTTATGAAAATTGTTTGAACAAGTCGCAATGTTGCACATTCATTTGTTTTTGCACACATTGCGAATCGCACGATCTAAAACATGCTTATTTTAATATGGAAAAGTATCACAACCATGTCAATTTAACTTGCCTCTATGCTTTATTTGGAGGTCAAATAACTACTGATGCAGCTAATTAGAAAAACACCTTCAGAATGTAGATTATGAAACCGCTAACATGTCTATGCAGACACTATAGTGGTAATAGCTTCTATAAACAATGGGAAGAGGCTAGATTTCAGGAGGACGGATTAACAGAAGCGTATGCACAACGCTAGCTTGGATAGAATATCTTAAATTTATTAGAAAAACATTTTCCTCCGAGTTCAAACACATCATCTGATCATAAAGCTGCAAACTCAACAGAGTAAAATACATAAGCAGTAGGCTGAAGACCATTGAAATGTATATGAGGCCAGAATGGTGTGGTAACAAAACCCAAATTTGATAGCAATTTACTTCTGGATGCCGCAATGTAAACAATCCTATGCATTGAAACGAGCACATAAATTGGACAGAGGAACCACTTTCAGTCTGCAGACAACCCGAAAATGTGGAATTGACAGATGCTCTACAATTCGAGAACTCAATTGAAATCCACATGCAAATTCAAATTTTTGTTTCTCTAGAACAGCATGTATTAAACAGATACCTTAAGTCCAGAATTGAACAACAACACTGGGTTTGTGAACATCCTATCAATTTTTCGATTGAAGAATCCCCAGATGACTCATTTAAGATTTGAATGAGCGTAGCAAATTCTCTTGGTCTAAAGCCAAACAGTGTACAATGAGATTTTGAATGAAACAAATAACCATATTATGCCAGTTTTCACAAAAGTAATGCAGGCAACCAGCATCTGCACCACATTGAGATGTGTAAATATGGATAATTTTCTCAGAGATCTGGCATGCCTTTTCCTGTTTTTGGATCATACGTCCTCTCCATGACCACCTCCATTGGAGTATCTTTGGGACCAGCTGCACAAAGTAAAGGAGAACATCCAGAAGAAAGAGGATCAGACGTCAGCCGAATACACACACATTGACCCTGGAAGAGTAATCAAACATCTTTAATTTGGTAGAACCAACTCTATGAAAACTTCCATTGAAGTCAAAAGAAGGAAGTGGTAAGCAACAATGCCAAACAAGCACCATCAACTCCCAGCAAAAAGAATACTTAAGTCGCACACCTCATGAACCATCCATCATCACTCAGCACACATATTTCTCAAAGTTGCGTAACCCAATCCCCACAAAGTTCCCGACTTCAACCTTCCATATTGCCAAACAGTACTCCTACAGGAAACTAACAGAAGAATAAACCATATTGTTGATCTCCCCAGATCCACGCTTCATCTAAATTTGACTTACAATCTAATTTTAGGTTACACTACTTCAAACCGAACCATAACGTGCCATGCATTTCAACAATTTGTCTTTAAATGAAACCTATCCTACATTAAAGTTGATCATAAAGTTGCGTCTACAATTGATTCTTAGCTCTTCAAAGTTTGGAGCTTTAATTTCTTCTTCCAGTTGAAATCAGATCATACCTCTACGGCTAATATCCCCCCCCCCCCNCAAAAAAAAAAAATAGAAAACACACATGGCGTATAATACTACGTCTAAGATGCAACAGAATACTCATCTAGAAGCATATACTCAGGCGAATGCGAAAGAATTTGATAATTACCAACTGTAGGCCTTGGTGTGGTCCTTATTTTTAAGATCTCGGGCCGAGGAATAATAGAACCTGACGCTCCTATACCTCTTGAAACTCTTACTTTGGAGCCATCCTCTAGGAATCTAATCCCGACCTTTGTTGGTTTCCTGTGGAAGAAGACATGAGCTACCACCATGTTCTAAGATCAAAAGACAAATGGTAAGGGGAAAATAAATGCATCCATACCCTGTGACTGGATCTACAACCTGAACATTGGATACATGCAGCGGCGCCTCAACAGAAAATATCCCACCTTCATGGCCTTGCCCTTGTTTAATATGTTTCTTGACCTGTAAAAGGGCATATAATACAGTAAGGGGTAGTTTTGTTTTACATACTAATTATGTTTTTGATAAAATAACATAATTTTATTTATAAACAATACCAAGTGGGTACCGAAAGATGTAACAAAGTAAGTGATTTGTCCTCTGCCAAAGCTTTAGAAAGTGTAAGGCTAAAATATTTTGTCATGTTAGATAAAGAATCTCTCTTGCACCAACAGTCTAAATATATTTGGGAGAGGGTGGTGGAGAGGAGGGTGACAAGGAATGTGTCTGTTTCAGAGAACCAGTTCGGTTTCATGCCAGGGCGGTCGACTACAAAAGCCATTCATCTGGTAAGGAAGTTGATGGAATAGTATAGTGAGAGAAAGGACTTGCATGTGGTGTTTATAGACTTAGAAAAAGCCTACGATAAAGTCCTAAGGAGGTTTTATGGAGATGTTCGGAGATTAGCAGTGTTCCGATAGCGTACATCAGGGTGATTAAGGACATGTACGAGATACCTAAGACACGAGTAAGAACCGTGGGAGGTGACTCGGCCTATTTCCCTGCGGAGATAGGGTTGCATCAAGGATCAGCTCTTAGCCCATTTTTATTTGCCCTAGCGATGGATGTGTTGACGCGACACATTCAAGTAGGACTGTGCATACTTTGGTAAATACCAAATTACGGTACCAAAATCGAAGATTTTAGTATTTGGTATTCAGTATGGTATTGGTTTAAGTTTTAAAAAATATTGATATTTGGTATTTTAAAATGAAATACCAAAATACTGATATCGTACCGAAATATATATTATATTACACAATACACATATTATGAATTATAACATAAATATAAAATCTAAAATTTTACTTTCCTTTATTCTCTAAGTTCATCGATTAGCTCTAAGCAAGTAACAAAACATTTCTAATGATCAAATTAATTCTTTTATGTACAGTTTTCTCTCTCTAGGTTGAAATTTGCTAGTTTTGGACAAAACTTTTGTCAACAAATATTTTTAGTTTTGTACTTTTGAGTACTTTAATTTAGAATATTACAGTCTATGACTCTATGCACTAGTTAGTATTCAAACCGAATAAACTGAAGTTATCATACCGAATAAACCGAACCCGAAAGGAGAAAACCAAATCATACCGAATTTAATTAGGTACGGTATTGGTATTGCATTTTAAGAAACTGAATACCAAAAATACCGAACCGAAATGTCCAATATACCGAACCGTACCGACGAACACCCCTACATTCAAGGAGAGGTTCATGGTGTATGTTATTTGCAGATGACATAGTGATGATTGATGAGACGCATTGTGGGGTTAATGCTAGACTAGAGGTATGGAGACAGACTCTGGAGTCTAAAGGTTTCAAGTTTAGCCGGACGAAGACTGAGTACTTGAGTGTAAGTTTAGTGTTGGGGCCCATGAAGCAGAAGCGGACATGAAGCTAGATACACAAGTCATCCACAAGAGATATAGTTTCAAATATTTTGGGTCTATGATTTAGGGTAGCGAGGAAATCGACGAGGATGTCGCACAACGTATTGGAGCGGGATGGATGAAATAGTTGCTCACTTCTGGTGTTTTGAGTGACAAGAATGTGTCACCTAGACTTAAGGGCAAGTTTTATAAAGTGGTAGTTAGATCGGCCATGTTGAATGGAGCCGAGTGTTGGCCAAAGTCCAGAAATCTCACGTTCAAAAGTTGAAAGTAGCGGAAATGAGGATGTTGAGATGGATATGTCGACATACCAGGAGAGATAAGATTAGGAACGAGTTTATTTTAGACAAGCCGGGCATGACTTCCGATAGAAGATAAATTGTGGGAATCAAGGCTGAGATGATTCGGGTGAAGAGGAGAGAGCCTGATGCTCCGGTTAGGAGGTGTGAGAGGTTGACCACAACGGGCCAGAGGAGGGATAGAGGGAGGCCTAAGAAGTATTGGGGTGGTTATTAGGAAGGACATGACACTTCTTCAGCATACCGAGGACATGACCCTCGATACGAGGGTGTGGAGGTCAAGGATTAGGGTTGTGGGTGGACAAAGAGTCTAGAGTTTCATCTAGGCATCCGAGTAGTATTAGTACTAATCTTGTATTTTGCTATGCCTAACCCCTTGCTATTTCACATTGTGTCGTTATTTCCAGCAAGACTGCATGTATTTTTATAGTGTCGTAGTCTTAGATATTTGTTGTTGCACGTATCTCCATTTGCACCTATGTCTAATGAAGGTAGAGAGGTTGTTTCCGAAAGGCCCTGATGGTTCAGGTGAAGAGGACATACCCTGATGCACCGGTTAGGAGGTGTGAGAGGTTGACCACGGCGGGCCAGCGGAGCGGTACAGGGAGGCCTAAGCCTAAGAAGTATTGGGGTGGTGATTAGGAAGGACACGACGCTTCTTCAGATTACCGAGGACATGACCCTCAATACAAGGGTGTGGAAGTTAAGGATTAGGGTTGTGGGTGAACAAAGAGTCTAAGAGTTTCGTCTAGGCATCCTAGTAGTATTAGTACTAGTCTTGTATTTTGCTATGCCTAACCCCTTGCTATTTCGCATTGTGTCATTATTTCCAGCAAGACTGCATGTATTTTTATAGTGTCGTCATCGTAGATATCTGTTGTTGCACGTATATCCATTTGCGCCCATGTCTAATTACTTGGTTGTTGCTATTGTCTGTTTATTGCTACATTTTCACTTCCTTAGAGTCGAAGGTCTTTCGGAAACATCTCTACCTTTCATTAGGTTGTTGCTACTGTCTATTTATTGCTTCAGTTTCACTTCCTTAGAGCGGAGGGTCTTTCGGAAACAACCTCTTTACCTTCATTAGGTAAGGGTAAGGTCTGTGTACACTTTACCCTACCCAAACTCCACTCGTGGGATTTCACTAGGCCTGTTGTTGTTGTTTACATAAAAAGAGTATCTTGAAGCGCATCTTAGTCAATTAAGAGCTCTGTTCCTTAATACAGCTATCACTAAGTGTGAATGTGAAAGAGCTACTTGTCTAAAACACCACCAACTGGTTCTTGCTTGTTGTTCACTAATAATCTAATCCACAGAGAGATTGCCTTGAAGCTCTTACTAGTGAAGCAGACTCCTACAGCTAGCTATATCTCAACGAAACCACCTTGAGCAACTCAGTTTCTTGTTCAATCTAACATCTTGATGTCGATTCCTCCCACATAGTTTCACAAAGATGTAATCAGTCTATCTTATATTTTTTAGATGACCCGACCGTCAAAATGTCAATATTCTCGATTCAAGCCAAAACAACCAGGTTCTCAGGCTTCTGAAGTACTAAGCTAAAATCAGGTACTCATGATGGGGAATGGAACATGAATAGGTGATCTAAGTAATATTTTAATCATTATACCAACAAAGGACAAAAAGAGAATTAAGAGCATCATAAATTATGATCGTAGATTTGTACTTTCACAATTTTTCTGAAGATTGCGTAAGATTAAATAGAAATGTCTTCAAAACTTGAGAGACAATCTCTTTCCGTTTTCTCTACCATTCATATCTTCTTTATCTTCTTTAGAAGGGAATTTTTATGATCAATTCATTCAACATTTTTCACATCTAAATTATGTATTATATATATATATACACACACACACATTGTTATGCAGAAATGAAATTTGTTGAACTTAATAAAATAAAGAATGCAGAAAATACTCGAGTTTGGTTTATGGTTCCACATTTTATTTACATGCAATAAAATAACTCGAAGATAAGCATAAGCGTTGAAAAATAAACTCTTGCATAACCCTTGCATTGAAAATAATACAACCAAATATAAGCATAACCCTCATAGATGATGAGACACAGAAGCGAGGAATCAAAACCAATTGTAAGACTTTAAATCTGTTTGCAAGTTGCAACTTCAACGATGGAATTAGGTGAACTTTATGAGTTAAGATTCTCAAATTGATGTTAAATCTTCTCCCACTCATTAGTATCAATTCCACAATAGGACTCCCTAATACATAAAAACAAGCAAACAAATAAAAACAGGATTTTGGAAACAATGAAAAAAAAAAGTGAAAAACAACTAAATTATGACAAGATATGTTTTACAACCAGGGTAAACTATCACAAGACACGTTTAAAGGATATAAAGCATGTGCCAAGAAAAATGCTTACCAAGTTTTTGCCCTCAACGATTACACGGTTTTGGGAACGTATGACACGCTTAATGGTACCAGTCTCGCCTTTATCTTTTCCTCTTGTAATCATGACCTGGAAACAAAACAAAAAAAAAGGAAATAATTAGAAAAATCCCTAAGGTATTAGATAGACAATCAGCCAAAGAAACGGTGATTAATGAACTTACATTATCACCTCTGAGAATTCTCCACTGATGAATGAGTTTCTGATAACTTTTCCAACCCATTTTGAGCTTCACTAAAGTACAAGCACCTTGCTTTGCATCCAGATGTGAAAATAAAATCCACTAATCAGATGAATATAAAACAACAACAACAACAAACCTAGTAAATTCTCAAAAGTGGGGTCTGAGGAGGGTAAGATGTTTGCATCCTTACCCCTACCCGGGAAGGCAGAGAGACTGTTTCCGATAGACCACCGGCTAGAGAAAACGCCACTTTAAAAAAATAGAAAAAAGAAAAGGGCTTTAACATCAATATAAAATATCACAGATATATACACAGATGCATGCACCAACATCCATCATTTGCAATTAACATAAGCTGGTTAATATCCAAAAAGATGAGACTGAAATGTGCCACATACCAACTAGCCCCACAACTTAAAAGGCATCTATTTATTTCAAGATTTTGACTTTTTTTTTATCAGTTAAGAGAATTTCAAAATTCTGACTTTCACAACACTAATATATAAAATTTACTGGGGGACTAGAAACCACTATCCAAAATCCTCTTCCTTTTCTCTCTCCTCAACTAGGGGAATAGATATAGTCTTGGCTCAGCCATTGCAATAGTTGATGGCCATAGCAAAACTGTGGTAATAGTTGATGGCAACAATTAAGAAACAACCACGGTTGGGCCAAGGCTTCCCCCTCGTCTTCTATGGAAAATGACATGGCTGAACCGTGGTATGGCTGAACCGTGGCAATGGATGGAGGGCCCAGTTGCCTCAGTCCTCCTTCGACTTCATCTTTAGTCCAATAGTCATGAGTTATGTGCTTGACTATCCAACCTAAATCCTTCCAACTTATATTGTGGCGATGTATAAGTATCCTAACGACTCTATTTCCCTCTGGTAGATCCTCACGTTAATTACTCTCTTAAGCTCGTCCAGGCTTGATCTATGATCTTTTAGTTTAACCTCTTATTTCCTACAATCTTCTCTCATTCTTTCATTAATCTAACACTTATCCATTGATGAAATAACTATTCCCAAGTGTTTTCATAACTTCATTGCACTCATGTATGCCCTTGTGCGGCTCGGGCTTTATTCAAATTGTACTTTTTAGGCTCGAAACACATACAAATTAATTGTAGAAAATTTTGGAACTTTACACTCATTTTTAATCCTCTATCCATCATCTCTATCACTGAAATACCGCAATATCATCATTTCTCTCACCCACAACACAACCTCTTCATTTATTCTTATCCACCACTAAAAAAACACAAACACCATGGCCACAATGCATCATCTTTGGCTTTTCTGCTCTAACGCCTGATTTGAGTTGAGCACCAGGGCTAGTGTTTGAAGAAGAGAAGTGAGATGACCTAAACAAAAAACAAATATAAATAAAAGAGTTGTAACGTAATTAATAGTAAATAACACTTCGCCCAAATCAATTTTATCCTTTCTTAAGGTATTACTATTTGTTACTATATATATTCCCCACATATATGGCACACTTTCCTGTTTAATTTATTCTTAAAAAACATTATATTTTTATATTTAAAAATAATTTAACTTTAATTTTTTATTTTGCCTTTAATGAGATAATTTATAGCCACACAAATATCAAAGATTTATTTTAGATCATAAGTTTCAAAAATCTTTATTTCTGTCTTAAAATTTGTGCATAGGCAAACAATGCTTGCTTCATAAATTGGGATGGAGGGAGTAGTATACTAATATTTGCTAAATATAAAACCTAAATCAAATGTCTACTATTGTTAAGTATAAGCCTAAATTAAAGTATACTAGTAGATTAAACATATATTAACTTGTGCTAGTGGGAGATAGCGGATACCTCGTGATATTAGTCGAAGTGCAAGCAAATCCCACAACCTATTTCGCTATAGTTACTTTTGTGGTTCATTTCCTTCTTCTAAGAAACTTGTGGCTACCTCTGCAATTACTAATTACTCTACTCTGTAGAACCTCCAATCAAAATTTACAAGCTTCTCTAAGAACTCTCAAGCAGTGAATAAAAGGCCAATCCTGACATCCTGTCGTTACCCACATCATAAAAAAAGAGCGTCTCCCCTCTTTTATTTCAGTTTCGCGCCTGCCCAGTTCTATTCTATCCCGCTTCTTTTTTTAGGGTTTTGAAAAGCTCTTCCCCTTCACTTTCAACTCACTATTTCTCTTTCTCTGTTAGTTTCTCGAGAAAAAAAAGTATAATTTTGCCGGAAAAAATGCCGCCGATAAACTTGACAGAAGGTGCGATATCGATTATAACGAACGGCGAAGCACATGCGGAGGATTTTAAACCGGTGTTACATTCTGAGTATTCGGTTAGCGAACACTCAGAATCAGAACAACAATAACGAACGCTACCGGATTCTTTTATCAGACAGGGAATTTCTTCAGCAAGGGATGTTAGCTACGCAAAAAAACGATCTTATTCGGTCTCAACAGATTCAAAAAGGATCTATTATTCAGATGAATCAATTCGTTTAGAGTAACATCCAAAATCGAATGTAATTTCTCTGTTTTTCCTTCAATTTTGTCAATTTATATGATATAAATGCTTGAAATTTCGGATTGCATATCTTGAAGGAGTTTTTTCATTAAGATGCTTTGCCACAAGAACTACGTATGTTTGCTAGGAGATATATATGATTATTAAGGTTTGAGAAAATCAATAGCTTATACTTTTTATTTAATTCGCTGTTGTTATTTGCATGCGCAAATTTTAGTACGAACTCCTGTATTGTGTAGGACGTTCAAAGCAATGGGAGAAAAGAGGTGATTCTGTTCAATAATTTGTCTCTGTGAATTTGTTTTTATCTTCTTTACCTTATAAACTCAAAAATCTTTGGAGTGGTGGACTTTTTCTTTTTTGTTGATCGTTATTAGGGGCCGTTTCGGCGTTCTTGCTTACATCTAAGTTACCTAGAATTGTTTTATAAACCTAATTAAGAATAGGCTCAACTAGGGTTTAAACTTCTGTGTATATGGTAACCTTTTTCCTATTATAACAGGGTTCCTTAAATGTGTATAGGGTAACCATCTGTGTATATGCTTTGCTCCAGCAGTTGGTGTTGCAACTTTTTAGGTTTGTAGATCGGCTTTTCCTCTAGTGACAGTGCTGTGATTTGCAGCACAACTTATATGTGTATAGTTAGACCTTAATTGTTAATTTTTCCTGTAAGGTGAGTGGATGACACTTTTGTATGATGAACTTTCTGATATTGTCTTTTTCAAAAATAATTAGCAAACAGCTGACCTGCAACCCCACCATGCCAGTAATTTCCAGCTACACTTTCCAATAAGAAACTATATATACACACACTTCATTTTTTGTAAGTGTCTTTGAGAATCATACTTGTAGCCTACAGTGTTTGTTTATTGATTTTTCTTGTCTAATTCTTCAAACAGGATCACCATTATCATTGAATTAGATATTACACTTGAGACATGTGATACCATTGGAGTACCAAAGCATTATCTCCCAAATGGTATTAGTCCTTCAGTGCCACCGCCAGCTGCCCCACTTCAGTCTTCCACCCATCAATCAGGTGGTTTAAGTGGCAGCCCTCAATCCTTTACTGTTGATTCAGCTACCTCAAGCTCAGCTCCAAGACCAAATATGCCTGGAGGGATGCGATCTCCTGAGTCAAACCGTAGCATTGGTTATAATACTTCCTCTGCTGGTAATATTGACTCTGGAAGATATAGTTCAACAAGTGCACCCCTTTGAAGTTATGATCGTGTCACATGAAATGCACACCCGAATGGGATTTATGTATCGTGACCATGCTACGGGAACCGTACCCATAGTCACGATAATTATTATCAACCGCGCCTAAAACAAGCTATGATGTTCATCTATTATTCTTAAGCTACTTTGAGATTAATTGTAAAAGGTCCGTGATTATGGAAATTGTTTGAACAAGTCGCGATGTCGCGCACTCGTTTGTTTTTGCACACATTGTGAATTGCGACCACGATCTACAACATGTTTATTTTAATATGGAAACGTACCACAACCATGTCAGTTTAACTTGCCTCTATACTTTATTTGGAGGTCAAATAACTATTAGATTGGAGGTCAAATAACTACTGATGCAGCTAATTAGAAAATCACCTTCAGAATGTAGATTATGAAACCGCTAACATGTCTATGCAGACACTATAGTGGTAATAGCTTCTATAAACAATGGGAAGAGGCTAGATTTCAAAAGGACGGATTAACAGAAAGCGTATGCACGACGCTGGCTTGGATAGAATATCTTATATTTATTAGAAAAACATTTTCCTCCGAGTTCAAACACATCATCTGATCATAAAAGATGCAAACTCAACAGAGTAAAATACATAAGCAGTAGGCTGAAGACCATTGAAATGTATATGAGGCCAGAATGGGGTGGTAACATATCCCAAATTTGATAGCAATTTACTTCTGGATGCCACAATGTAAACAATCCAATGCATTGAAACGAACACATAAATTGGACAGAGGGAACCACTTTCAGTCTGCAGACCAAACCCAAAAACGTGGAATTGACAGATGCTCTACAATTCGAGAACTCAGTTGAAATCCACATGCAAATTCAATTTTTTGTTTCTCTAGAACAGCAAGTATGTATTAAACAGATATTCAAGTCCAGAATTGAACTCCAACAACACTGGATTTCAAATTTTTAAAGCAAATCCTAGCTTTGAACTCACAAACACACAAGAATAAAGTTTCAGCAGAAAATTCATGAAATAATCCTTCAAATTGCATCATAAACAGACAGGGTTTTACTCATATCACGTGAGTATTTATTCAACAGCATGCCATGAGTCTCAAAGAAAGATCAAAATTCATCATTCAATAAAGACCAATCATTATTACAGAGTGGTATGAACATACCTAGACTGGAAAGACAAATACAGAGCAGAAATGGAGACTGGCAAGACCTAGCCAAAGCAGCCACAAATTCAACAATCAACCAGCAATTTTGGAGAGTTTAAACACTCTTGAAATCCCAGAAAACCACGAGCCAACAAACTGAAATCTTTCTTTCTTTCTTCTTTTTTTTCAGAGCTGAAAGTCTTTTTTTAGCTGCGAGGTTGAAGAACGGGGAGGGATCTGTTTGGTTCTCTCTTGAGAGGATGGAGGGACGGCCGATGAAGGTTTTTGCAGAGAGAGGTCCGGCGGCGGCTATTTTTGAGGAGGGGTCTTTTGGAGTCGATGATAGAGGAAGGGAATTAGGGATTTTTGTTGGGAAGGGTCTGATTCTCGTTCATCTCTGGTGAAGTGAGAAGAATGGAGAAGGAGAGAGAAGGGTGTGAGGCGGCTAGGGTTTTGGAAGGGGGGGGGGGGTCTGATCTTCTTTGTTTGCTGCTGGTCTTTCTGAAAGGGGGAGGAGATTAGGTCGTTTACGTGGGATGGAATAAGAAGAAACGACGCCGTTTAGGCGTTTGAAGGGGAATGGGTTGCGCTTATGGAATGATTGGGCTGATGGGTAAGAGCTGGGCTCAGAAAACTGGCCGAAGTTCGAATTCAAGCTCTAAAGAGCTACTCTTTTCCTTCTTTATTAGGCTTCACACAATTAGCCATCAATTAATTAACCTAACATGTAAAGCTGAAAATTATAAAATTAACCAATTTAATAATTTATACAACAACAATAACAACAACAACGACCCAATAAAATCTACTAGTGGAGTCTGAGGAGGATAGTGTGTACACAAACCTTAATAATTTATGTAATAATTGACTAAATTAATTAACTAAAAATACATGTGAAATTAATAAAGTATTTTTTGTTGTAATTTTCATGATTTACGATATTCCTAAGATGCAAGAAAAATGCGACTAAATTCAAAACAAATAAAGAAAAACTTCTAAAATTCATAAAAACAATAAAATTCCTATACCTCTTGAGACTATTACTTTGGAGCCATCCTCTAGGTATCTAATCCTGTCCTTTGTTGGTTTCATGTGGAAGAATACATGAGCTACCACCATGTTCTAAGAGCAAAAGACAAATCGTAAGAGAAAAATAAATACATCCATACCATGTGACTGGATCTACAACCAGAATATTGGATACATGCAGCGACGCGTCAATTGTAAATATTCCACCTTCATAGCCTTGCCCTTGTTTAATATGTTTCTTGACCTGCAAAAGGGCATATAATACAATAAGAGGTAGTTTTGTTTTACATACTAATTATGTTTTTGATAAAATAACATAATTTTATTTAAAACAATACCAAGTGGGTACCGAAAAATGTAACAAAATAAGTGATTTGTCCTCTACCAAAGCTTTAGAAAGTCTAAGGCCAAGATATTTTGTCATGTTAGATAAAGAATCTCCCTTACACCAACAGTCTAAATATATTTGGGAGAGGGTGGTGGAGAGGAGGGTGACAAGGAGTGTGTCTGTTTCAAAGAACCAGTTCGGTTTCATGCAAGAGCGGTCGACTACAAAAGTCATCCATCTAGTAAGGAGGTTGATGGAACAGTATAAGGAGAGGAAGAAGGACTTGCATATGGTGCTTATTGACTTAGAAAAAGCCTATGATAAAGTCCCTAGGGAAGTTTTATGGAGATGTTTGGAGATTAGCAGTGTTCTGATAGCGTACATCAGGGTGATTAAGGACATATACGATATAGCTAGGACTCGGGTAAGAACCGTGGGAGGTGACTCGGTCTATTTCCTTGTGGAGATAGGGTTGCATCAAGGATCAGCTCTTAGCCCATTTTTATTTGCCCAGGCGATGGATGTGTTGACGTGACACATTCAAGTAGGGCCGTGCATAATTTGATAAATACCGAATTACGGTACCGAAATCGAAAATTTTGGTATTTGATATTCGATATTTTGGTATTCAATATGGTATTTGGTCTAAGTTTTAAAAAGTATTGGTATTAGGTGTGGTATTTTAAAATGAAATACCAAAATATTGATACCGTACCGAAATATATATTATATTACACAATACACATATTATTAATTATAACATAAATATAAAAATCTAAAATTTTACTTTCCTTTATTCTCTAAGTTAATAAATTAACTCTAAGCAAGTAACAAAATATTTCTAATGATCGAACTTATTCTTTTATGTATAGTTTTCTCTCTCTAGGTTGATATTTGCTAGTTTTGAACAAAACTTTTGTCAACAAATGTTTTTAGTTTTGTATTTTGAGTACTTTAATTTAGAATATTACAGTCTATGACTCTATGCACTAGTTAGTATTCAAACCGAATAAACCGAAGTTACCATATGGAATAAATCGAGACCGAAAGGAGAAATTCGAACCATACCGAATTTAATTAGGTACGGTATTGGTATTGCATTTTAAGAAACCAAATACCAAAAATACCGAACTGAAATATCAAAATATCGAATCGTACCGACGAACACCCCTACATTCAAGGAGATGTGTAATGGTGTATGTTATCTGCAGATGACATAGTGTTGATTGATGAGACACATTGTGGGGTTAATGCTAGACTAGAGGTATGGAGACAGACTCTGGAGTCTAAAGGTTTCAAGTTGAGCCGGACGACTGAGTACTTGGAGTGTAGGTTTAGTGTTGGCGCCCATGAAGCATAAGGGGACGTGAATCTAGATACAGTCATTCACAGGAGAGATAGTTTCAAATATCTTGGGTCTATAATTTAGGGTAGCGGGGAAATCGATGAGGATGTTGCACATCGTGTTGGAGCAGGATGGATGAAATGGTGGCTCGCTTATAGTGTTTTGTGTGACAAAAATGTGTCACCTAGACTTAAGGGCAAGTTTTATAAAGTGGTAGTTATCGGCTATGTTGTATGGAGCCGAGTGTTGGCCAGAGTCCAGAAATCTCATATTCAGAAGTTGAAAGTAGCGGAAATGAGGATGTTGAGATGGATATGTGGACATACCAGGAGATATAGGATGAGGAATGAGTATATTTTAGACAAGCCGAGGCTCCTATAGAAGATAAATTGTTGGAATCAAGGTTGAGATGGTTCGGGTGAAGAGGAGAGACCCTGATACCCATGTTAGGAGGTGTGAGAGGTTGACCACGGTGGTCCAGAGGAGGGGTGGATGGAGGCCTAAGAAGTATTGGGTTGGTGATTAGGCAGGACATGACGCTTCTTCAGCTTACTGAGGACATGACCCTCGATACGAGGGTGTGGAGGTCAAGAATTAGGGTTGTGGGTGGACAAAAAGTCTAGAGTTTCGTCTAGGCATTCTAGTAGTATTAGTATTAGTCTTGTATCTTGCTATGCCTAACCTCTTGCTATTCACATTGTGTCATTATTTCCAGCAAGATTGCATGTATTTTTATAGTGTCATAGTCTTAGATATCTATTGTTACACGTATCTCCATTTGCGACCATGTCTAATTACTTGGTTGTTGCCACTGTCTGTTTATTGCTTCATTTTTACTTCCTTGTAGCCAAGAGTCTTTCGGAAACAACCTCTCTACCTTCATTAGGTAGGGGTAAGGTCTGCATACACTTTACCCTCCCCAGACCCCACTCGTGGGATTTCACTGGGCTTCTTGTTGTTGTTTACATAAAAAGAATATCTTGAAGCGCTTCTTAGTCAATTAACAACTATGTTCCTTAATACAACTATCACTAAGTGTGATTGTGAAAGAGCTACTTTTCTAACACACCACCAACTGGTTCTTGCTTGTTGTTCACTAATAATCCAATCCACGGAGAGGTTACCTTGAAGTTCTTACTAGTGAAGCAGACTCCTACAACAAGCTATATCTCAACGAAACCACCTTGAGCAACTCAGTTTCTTGTTCAATCTAACATCTTGATATCGATTCCTCCCATATAATTTCACAAAGATGTAATCAATCTTTCTTATATTCTTTATATTACGGTCACCAATGAGGATTTACTACATTGAAATTATTTTTATGTTCTCCGATTACAATCGTATATCGCTGGGAAATTAGAACCTAAACATTCTTCAATCTACACCCATTGTCCAACACCACCACTAAAACTTAATGCAAAAGAAAGCATGATAAAGGCTGAGACTATCACCACTTGAACCCAGACAGACATAATCCAAATTGAGAGGACATAATCCAAATTCAGAGGTAACGTGAAATCGTGGCATACCAGAGTACCGTCATGAAGGTTGTATAAAGTCTCATAGGATCATATGAACTCTTAACTTCTCAAGATCCTTCTCTATCCAATATGAGCTTTTCAATTTAAAGCTTTTCTTGCTAGGAATTGCTGCATCTACTAACCTAACAATAGTATATGTTGTTAACTGACTGTCCAACACTTTATGATATAAAATTTATACTTTTTTTCTTTACCTATTACTTTACTTTTATTATATTCATAACCGTCTATTGTTTAGTGTTGGCCCAAGTAAATGTTAGTTTTGAAGACTGACAAAGGAACTCAGACATGAACCAGGTCCATCCCAGCGGAGCACAGATATGGATAGACTTAAGCATGTGAGATGCACGTGAAGGAGATAAACTTAACTTGAAAGAAGTAATATCTCCTGATCATGATCGAAAAGGTTGCATAATGAATAAAGAGAAGGACTCCTTACTCAGAGAGAACACGGTTTAAGAGAAGGATGGAGTTAGAGGTTGAGATCAACTAGAACTCTTCCACCAAGGAAGAGTAGCATTAGAATTCTAGTCAATCTCTATTTACAAGTAGCATTAGAATTATAGTCAATCTCTATTTACTAACACTATAAATATCAGTGTTGTTCTCTTTTACAGGTAACACACATAAGCAGAAGTTAAACGTGAATTAAGAGCAAAATAGCACGGCAATTTTGCAAGCAATTTGTGTATGATTCAAGTGTGCAAACATGAAGCTACATGAACCAAATAGAAGAACCAGTTCCAAGTGTTTGTCTTTTATTCTAGTTCAATTGTAGTAGGTGTTTTCATATTGTACCTTTTAGCTTTATCTATAGGCAATTGTAATAGGTATTCAGAGTATTCCAGTTAGAGTTAACTTGAAGTTGTGGCAACAGTTGAGGCTGTGTGCTATAATGGGATTAGAGTTAGTCCTAGGTTTACAAAAGAGTTTTTGTAAATGCAGTTTTTGGCTCAGTGATTTTAGTGGAGAGTTTGGGAAATCCTATGGGAAAGTAGGCCGTGGTTTTTTTCACCTTTTGAGCCAGATGTTTTCCACGTAAATTTTTTGTGTTCTTTAATTTCTGTACTTATTATTCCACAACAGTAGTAGTTGGAACAAATAAAAGAACCAAGTCCTTCTATAATCAGGTTAAGCGAAAAAGTGGACACCACACAAATCACCCCCCCTCCCCTCTTGTGTGGTATTGAAGTGTAAAAAATCAATTGGTATCAGAGCAGATTATCCTTGAAGAGGATAGCAC